TGCCTGTGTACCACAGCCTTCACAGACCTACTTAAGTCAATGAATAAACATGTCAGTATGTACTCATGACTACAAACCTCATCAAACTGTGCATAACTTTTGAGAAGAAGTAAAGTACAGACTAAGGATTATAGGTAAACTGATACATCTTTGTGGCACGAGTTCAAAGGGCTGCCTAGGGTTCATTGCAGAAGGAAGAGAGGTGTGTGTTAGAAGAAACTGCTATGTACACATTCATACGAAAATGAGAAGAAAAGCAAGCAAATGAACTTGGGATGATGAAGATGGGATGATTAGTGCATGTCACACTTTCACATAATTACTTCTCTAATGGAATTTATTGCCATTGGCCATCTGCTGAGATTATCCAAATAAGTTCAAGGCAAACAAATTTTCCTTGGACTCTAACGTTGTATGTTTAACTATCTAGAAGAATATGCAACCTGCCTTTGAAGGATTGTCATACTGTTGGGAAGACACTTGGAATAGGACGGGTTGGGAGTGAATTTCAGGCTTGCTATTTCCTTCATATTTCACCATGAGTAACTGACTTATTTTTGGGGATCTCAGTTTCCACATCTGTAGGGTGGGAATAAAAAGGTTTCTTGGCTGAATTTATGTGGTGTAAAGTAGAATATCATATATGAAATTCCTATCATGGCGCCTGGAATAATAAACAGCAACCACTCTCCGTTGTAAAGCCTCCTTGTCTGAGGCTTCCTCCCTTCCTCTAGTCTTTTAGTTTTATACCAGTTTTCACGTGGCATTTAACACATCAAAATCTTAACAGAACTCTCATATTTCTGTTTTTATCCCACAATTTAATCATAAATCCAGGTCTGAATTTCATGGATGGCCCAGAAGGGCCATCCTCAAGAGCCAGTCCTCCCTGAGTATCTGCTGTTGAGTGCAGGGAGGGTGAAAAGCTACAGATGTGCAAGTCCTTGCACAGGGAAGTCAGAACAGAGCTGGATACCTGGGCTAGTCAGTTTCTCCCACTCCCTGCTGTAGGAGCTCCTTACTTAGAGAGGCTCTGCAGGACACACTTGCAGGCAAGAGGGAGATGGGGAGAAGAGACTCATGAGATTAAGAAATTAAAGATAAATATTGTTTGAAAGGGAAGGACACTGGAAGGACTCTTCTGAAAGGATACAGGAATGATTTTTCTGAATACTGGAAGGACATTGATTTTAGCAGATGTCACAAAATCTAAGGGTAGAAGGAAATAAAACAAATAAAAATAAATGTGAATAGATGAAGTTAAGGAAATTACAAAAAAGAGATATGAGGTAATAGAACCCATGAAACAGGGGGTCATGGACTTGTGATGGTTACAGAAGGAACGAGCCAATTGCACAATCTCATGGAGAGGGAAAGATAGAGAATAAGAGTCCAGAGAGATACATGATCTTCCCCAATCCTGTCCTGTCTCAATCTCCCTTTCTCTTCTCTAGTTTATTGCAATACGTTTTCTTTTGGAGACAATTTTTTTCCATCCTCCCCTTCCCTATGCTTCCACTTCCATCCTCTTTCATAGAGCTGCCCACAAGTCCTTTCTGAATACTGATCTGATGGTTCCCCACCTTCTTATACCTTTAGTAGTTGTCTAGCGCCCGCAGCTTAAACTCCAGCTCTTAGTAACTACCCCAAATGCTCTATGGATAGAATCAGGGTCGAACACCATCCCTACACATGTGCATGCCATTCCCTCTCAGCATTTCATACGAGGCTGTAAATGTCATCTCCATCTGCCTTTCTAATCAGTATCCGTGTCACTAGGAACCAACAGCGGTCTAAGGAATTCATAGTTTCTACGTAAGCCATCTATCTGGTTATTTTCATTTCCTTGTGAACAATTCCTGTTTCCTGAAATAACTTTTGTTACTTTCTAAGCATAGAAGATTGTCACCTTTTTGCTGACTCCTTTCCCATTCCTCTCACACAGAATTAATTTTCATCTACATGGATTCTGAAAGCATTTTATAAATACCTCCATTAGAGCATTTACAGTTTTTCCATTGCATCTCTTTACTAGATTTTAAACTGAATAACAATTTAAGGCCACTGTCTATGACAGCAATTGTGATTTAGTAGTCTTACAAAATATGTTTGACAATTTAACTTAAGGGAAGGCAATGATGTGACCTTTTTATGTGTGGCTATATGGAGAATTTTCTTGATCCTTTTTATGCTTTGCTGTCAGCATCCTCCCCCTAAATCATTGGGCCAATTCTATGATAAGTTGTTTTCATATGTAAACTGGGGTGCCTATTCAGAATAATACAATCTTGACTACAGCGCTTCCCAAATGTTTCCTCACATTTTAGACTTACTCCCAAGAAGTCTCTCTCACTCATTACTCACATCTTCTTGCATGTTTTTCAAGATTCTTTATATAGCAGACTTATGTGCAGGTGAACAAATCCCGTTCTCTCAACTTCCTTCAGCCAGAGTGGGGCCTTAGGTCTTAATGTTCTTACAGACCCTCTGCTGCAGCATCAACTTGACAGCCCCTGCCCATCTCTCATGTGTACTAGCCTGTGTGGGACCCTAGAGGAAGAGGGAATATCCTTGAGGAGAACCTATTGAACAGGGCTTGGGAAGAAGAGCTGGGCTGATTACCACTGGGGCAATGGAGCAATGGGAGTTGTTAAAAAGTTTCTATATGTCTCCAAACACATGATATTTGAGAAGTCTTCTTTAGAGATCCAAACTACCAAGAATACTGAAAATTTAATATGTATGGAATGTAGGATTTGAGGCAAAGATCCAAAATGACAAGAGGAATTTCAAAAGAAATAGACTCTATTGAAATTTCAGAAAACCTTGATAGAATCAACTGCAGGCCTTGTTGAGGGACAGATTGGTGTGCCCAGTCTAGACTTTCTCTTTCAGTGGGTCAATGATGAGGAAAAGAATCTGAAACAAGTGTCAGATGATAGCGATGCTCCTGTTCCAGGGACCAGACATCAAAACCACTGCCTTGCTCATCAGCACAGTGGACAGTTCCCATCATGGAGTCATCAAGCAACTGGTCAGATTTCCTTCTTTCTTCTTTTAAACTGAATGGATCTTTACTCAGGCAAACTCAAATTGGAAATTGTGTGTAGAGTACAGCAGAAGCTTAATAAGCCACATATATGCTTTGTCATTCACTTCCTCAACCAGACTGTCACAGTGAATTCACCACCCATATCCAGTTCTACTCTCAAAGTCCATAAAGTGCTAATGTTCCTTAAATCTTTACATGTACATTATTACTTAGTTTAATACAAGAAGTGGTAAGAAAATTCATATATAGGAATATATGTATATGTATATATATATATACATATATACATACTCATGAGGAGTTGAAAAAACACTGGAATTAACTGGCACTGTAAACTTGATGTGCTATAGAAGTACTACATAAGACATAGTTCTCTTCCAGACTTAAGGGAAGGAAAAGAAGATTCCGCTTTTGCATAGGACAAATGTGGAAGTCATATTGTGAGAAGAGAATCAGGAAAAAGATGCTAGTGTGGTTATCTTCTAAAAGTACAGTATTCCTAAAAGCACATTTGTTTTTTTGGTGGCACTGGAGCTTGAACTCAAAGCCTCACACTTCAATTTAGGGATTATACCACTTGAGCCATTTTACCACCCCTTCTTTCATTTACTTATTTTTCAGAAAGGGTCTCACTTTTTGCCCAGACTGCAATCCTCCTACTTATACCTCCCACATAGTTGGAGATCACAGGTAAGCACCACCATGCCTAGCTTGTTGTTGAGATGGGGTCTTGCCAGCTTTTTGCCTAGGGTTGGGCTTCAACTGCCTGATCTCTGCTTCCCAGGTAACTGGGATTATAGGTGTGGACCACCACATCCAGCTGCCAAACCCATATTTTTTACTTCCAACAATTTTTTTGTTATTCTTTGACTGTACATTTCTAAAATGCATTCTGATCTTGCTTCATTTTTGCAAAACCTCTCCTAAGTTTGGTGAGTATTAATTATAGGTTTTAAAAATGTTTTTAGTTCCATGCTCTGACTATATCAGGGTTGATATCCTGGTTGTGATATTATACTTTAGTCTTGCAGAATATTTCACAGTCTGTGTGGATGGCTACAATGGCACACCATACCCTGCATGGGTTATAAGCAACGGAAATGTGTTTCTCACAGTGCTCAAAGGTTGAAGAACAAGACCAGGTGCCAGCATTGTGTGAGGGTCTTCTTCCTGTTTCATGATAAGGTAGAGGGAATCACATGACCAAGAGATGGAACTGTCAGCTTAGGACTCCTTTCTTGTTCTTATGAAGCCACAAATGCCACCGTGGGGTCACACCATCCTGACCTCATCTAACGCCTCCCAAAGTCTCTCCTCCAAATACCATCAACAGATGAATTTGGGGATTAAATTTCACCAAGCACATAAACTTCTGTGAGACACATTCAAACCATAGCAGGTAAGTGGAATGGTTTGTAGATTACCCAAGAATCTGGTAGGAAACAGTAAAAATAAGAGGTAAATTTTAGGAAATTTATTATTGGAGATACTTAGACAATGTTAAAAGTCAGACTACTTTCTAAATATCGCATTAAGAAATGAGGTGGGAAAAAAGGAGCAGAGCAGAATATGACTGTCCTGAAGTTAAGATGAAACAGGTAACCATTCAACATAGATATAAATCTACAAATGAGGAAATTTTCTAGCTTTTTTAGGTGGGTGTGTGGAAGTCTAAATGTCAAATAACATCCAGATCTGTGCATCTAAACTTGGAGTCAGTGGAGCTAACTTTTGCCAATTATAATAATATCTGGTATCAGTTTTATGAGAAGGAATGAGATAAAAGTGAGAAAGTGCCTAACACAGTACCTGACACAGGAGTAGGTCTTGAAGAAATGTTAGTATAATACGATTTGTTGTACATTATAAAGACTTTGCTCCACTTTCCACGAGGGTTATCACAAGTTCACTGAGAAGATTTGTCACCTAAATTCAGCTTGTTTGAAAATCATTCCCTGCTGAAACTCCCTAAATGCTTGGTTAATCTCTTCATGGCTGTTTGTATCTCCTGATTCCTCAAGGTGTAGATCATGGGGTTCAGCATGGGGGTCATGACCGTGTGACTGATGGACACAGCTTTGTCCATGGGGAATGGGGTGAAGGGCCGCGCATAGAGGTAAATGCTTGGAACAAAGATCATAGACACCACGATAATGTGGGTGGTACAGGTGGAGGCTGCCTTCCTCCTCGCCTGCCCTGGGTGAGACCTCAGCATCACCAGGATGACCAAGTAGGAGATCAGAAGGAGAAAGAACCAGATGACATCCAGCATCCCACTGTTGGAGATCATGAGGAGCTCTAAGAGGGAGGTGTCAGTGCAGGCCAGTCTCAGCACTTGGGGCACATCACAGTAGAAGTTATCCAGGACATTGGGGCCACAGAAAGGCAGTGGGAGCATCAGAGACAACTGGATAATTGAATGGACAAAGCCTCCTACCCAGGCTGTCACCACCAGTCCCATGCAGAGCTGAGTGTTCATGATGGTAACATAGTGGAGTGGCCGGGAAATGGCAATGACGCGATCATAAGCCATGACTGAGAGGAAAAAGACCATGGCACCCCCCAGAAAATGGAAGAAGAAGACCTGCACCAAGCATCCCTGGTAGGAGATGGTCTTCCTCTCAGAGAGGAAGTCCACCAGCATTTTGGGGGCAGTGACTGAGGAGAAACAGAGGTCCAAGACAGCCAGATTTCTGAGCAGAAAGAACATGGGTGTGTGGAGCCTGGACTCTGAGGACACTGTGACTATGATGAGGAGGTTTCCCAGGACAGTGGTGCTATAGACAAACAGGAAGACCAGAAACAGAAATATCTGGAGTTCCCAGGTCTGTGAGAGCCCCAAGAAGACAAACTCTGACACCCTTGTGAAGTTTCCTGGTTCCATGATGTCTTCTCCATACACCTAAAGAAAATGAAACATAAAGATTCATGAAGTCACTAGTTGCAAATGCCATCCTCATGTGCAGACCACAACAATGGCTGTCACCTTGTCTCTGAAGAGTTGACAAGAGGGTGCTGGAGTACATATTCATGAGCTATCTTAAAGCATCCAGAAGAATATGCACCCTACCTTTCAAAAATTGCCATAGTGTTAAGAAGACACTTGGAGTAGGATGGGTTAAGAGAGAATTTCAGGTTTTCCATTTCCTTGAGATTTCTCCATGAATAACTGACTTACTTTAATAGGTACTCAGTTGCCACATCTGTAAGGTGGGGATAAAAAGGGTTTCTTCGCTGAATTTGTGTGGGGTAAGTAGAAGATCATATATGAAGTTCCTAGAATGGTGCCTGGAATAATAAACAGCAACCAACTCCTTTGTGAAGACTCTTCATCTGAGGCCTCCTCCCTTCCTCTAGTCTTTTAGTTTTACACCAGTTTTCATGTGACACTTAACACATTAAAATCTCAACAGAACTCTCATGTTTCTCTTTTTACTTCAAATTCAATCAATAATATGCTTCTGAATTTCATAATTCATTTATGCTTAGCAGGGCCCTCTCAATATTCACCAACAATCTACTGTTGACTGCAGGGTTGGTGAACAGCTGCAGGAGTACTAGTCCTTGCACAAGGACATCTGAACACAGCTGGATACCTGGGCTATTCAGTTTCTCCCACTCCCTGCTACCCTGCTATATAAGCCCCTTAGTTGGTGAGGCTCCACAGGACACATTTGTAGGCAAGAGGAAGATAAGGTAGAGAAATTCATCAGATTAAGAAATTAGAGAGGGGCGCTGGTTGCTCACAAGTATAAACCTAACTGCTCAGTAGGCAGAGAACAAGAAGATTGAGGTTTGAAGCCAGCCCGGGAAAAATGTTTACAAGATCCTGCACAAATATGCAACACAAAATACCCAACATAGAAAAGGCCTGGCAGAGTGGCTCAAGTGGTAGAGTGTCTGCCTGGCAAGCATAAGGCCATGAGTTCAAACCCCTGTTTCATCAAAAAAAAATCAAAGTAAGTATTGATTGAAGGGAAGTCCGACAGCACTTCTGGAATATACACTGATTCAGCAGATGTCAGAATCTTAGGGTAGAGGAAAAAGGAAGGAGTTGAATAAAAATAAATGGGAATGGATGAAGTTAAGGAAGATCACAAGGAACTGAAACAGATGGGTGAAGGAGGGGACATGGAATGTTATGGTTGAGAAGGGGCTGCAACCAGTTGGAAAATCACATGGAGGGAGAGATATAGCGACAGAGTGAGGGGTAAGTGGTCTTCCCACTTCCCCATTCTCTCCCCTGGCCAATTGCAATCCTTTTTCTACAGGATACCCTCTCTTCTCAGCCTTCCCTTTCCTGTGCTTCCACTCCTGTCCCATTTCACAAACTGCCCATGAAACCTTTCTGAATGCTGATGTGATTGTGCCCTTTTCTCTTAAAATACTTCTGTTTTCACTGTACTAGTGATGAACTCAGGGCCCTGCACTTGCTATGCAGGTATTCTAATAGTTGAACTATGACTCCCTCCCTTTTGTTTATTTTTGGATAGGTTCTCATGATTTTTGCCTGGGGTGGCCTCAGATGTCCTAACTATGCCTCCTGGGTAGCTGTGATTATAGGCGTGTACTATCATGCCCACACATTTCTTTAATACTCTATGATGACCATTTAGTCCGACAGCTTAAACTCGATTCTTAGAAGCTACCAAAATTCTTGGTGGTTAGAATCAAGGTTGAACAACATACATGTGCTTGTAACTCCCTCTCATATAAAAATATAAAGTGTTACCTCAATATATATTCTAAGCAGTATTGCTGTCACCCAGGGACCAGTAGCTGTGTAAATAATGTGCAGGTTCTTAAAATGTGGTATTTATATATAATGGAATTCTACTCAGACATGAAGAAGAATGAAATCTTATCATTGCCAAGTAAATTGATGGAACTGGAGAACATCATTCTGAGCGAGGATAGCCAGGCTCAGAAGACCAATAATTGTATGTTTTCCCTCATATGTGGAATTTAGATCAAGGGAAAATACAGCAAAGTTATTGGACTTTGATCACATGATAAGGGGAGAGAACATATGGGAGGTATGAGGATCGGTAACAAACCCAAAAACAAGACACTATTTGATGTCCTCAATGCAAAGGAACTAATGCAGACACTTTAAAGCGACAGAGGCCAATAGGAGAAGGGGATCAGGAACTAGAGAAAAGGTAAGCTCGAGAAGAATCAACTTAGAATGTAACACATATATACATGGAAGCAATGCTAGGAATCTCCCAGTATAGCTATCCTTATCTCAACTAGCAAAAACGCTTTGTCTTTCTTATTATTGTTTATACTCTTTCTTCAACAAAATTAGAGACAAGGGCATAACAGATTCTGCCTAGAAGCGAAGGGATGGGGGGTAGAGGGAGGGGGCGGGGGATGGTAGAGAAATGACCCAAACATTGTATGCACATATGAATAAATGAAAAAAAAGAATGTGCAGGTTCTTCACATGCCATTTATTTGGCTATTTCTGTATATTTGGAAGTAATTCCTGTTTCGTTAAATCATTTTGATATGGTTTTTACCTAAAAGCATCCAGATACAAACTCTCTCTTCTTATTTCCCTATTTCTCCCATGTAAATTAATTCTTCATTTCTCTGGGTTCCAATAACACTTTTAAACACATCCATTGTAGCATTTTTTCCTGTTTCCCTCTTAACTAGTTGCAATTTCAGTAACAATGTAGGCCCACCACCTATGACAGCAACTGTGATTTTTTAGTTAGTCAAATGATGCCAACTTAATGCATTACCATTGTGACCTTGTTTTGTAGGACTATATTAAGAATTTGTGAATGTTCTCATTCTTCTTATTCTTTGCTCTCAGCTTCCTCCCTCTAAATCATAGGGCCAATTCAACATTTGCTTGTTTCACATACAAACCAGGGTACCTGTTTTGAACATGACATTCTCCCCTACAATACTTCCCAAATCTCTTCTTCAATTTTAGATTTATTCCCATCAAGTCTACAGAACTCATTGACACCTACCTTCCCCCAGGATTTTTAAGATCCTTCAGATAGCTGATGTATGTGCAGGTGAACAAACCCTGTTCTCTCACCTTTCTTCAGCCAACAGCAGGTCTTTGGATCTTAATCTTCTTAGAGACCTTTTGCTGCAGCCTCAGCTTGCCAACCCCTAACCATCTTTCATGTGCACTACCCTCTGTGGGACACTAGAGAAGAGGGAATATCCTTGAGGAGAACCTATTGAACAGGGTTCAAGAAGAAGAGCTGGGCTGATTACCACTGGGGCAATGGAGCAATGGGAGTTGTTAAAAAGTTTCTATATGTCTCCAAACACATGCTGTTTGAGATGTCTTCCTTAGAGACCCAAAGTACCAAGAACACTGAAAATGTAGACATTTTGGAATGTAGGGTTTGAAGTCCAAGACCCAAAAGGACAAGGGGAACATCAAAAGAAATAGACACTATTGGAGTTTCAAAAGAACCTTGATAGAATCACCTGAAGGCCTTGTTGAAGGACAGATTGGAGTGACCAGTCCAGAATTTCTCTTTCAGTGTGTGAATGATGAGACCAAGAATCTGAAACAAGTGTCAGATGATAGCGATGCTCCTGTTCCAGGGACAAAACATCAACAACCACTGCCTTGCTCATCAGCACAGTGGACAGTTCCCATCATGGAGTCATCAAGCAACTGGTCAGATTTCCTTCTTTCTTCTTTTAAACTGAATGGATCTTCACTCAGGCAAAGTCAAAGTGGAAATTGTGTGTAGAGTACAGCAGAAGGTTAATATGCCATATGTATGCTTTGTCTTTCATTTCCTCTACCAGACTGTCACACTGAATTCACCACCCATATGCAGCTCTACTCTCAAAATCCATAAAGTGCTAGCATTCCTTACATGTGAATATTATTCTCTTTAATACAAGTATTGGTAAGGAAATCCATATATCATCACTATGAGGAGTTAATAAAAACTGGAATTAATGGTATTGTAAACTTGATGTGCTGTAAAATGATGTGATAACTAAGACAGTTCCTTCCAGATCAAAAGTGAAAAAAGAAGATCCCACTTCTACATGAGAAGAATGTGAAAATCATATTGTGTGGAGGAGCAAATGGAATGGATGATGCTGATGTGGCCATCTTTAAAATACAACATGCCCCTCAGCACATATTTAATATTCAAGCTTTTTGTCATTCTCTTATTGTATCTTCCTAAAATAGCATGTTCATTCTGTTTCGTGAACTTTTGGATATTTATTGTATGGCTTTATAAGTTTCTTGTTCCATGCCTGGAGTGTATCAGTGTTAATATCCTTCTTGTGGCATTATACTCTAGTTTTGCAAGATGTTTCTTACTTTCTTTGGACTGAAATGGATTTCCCACTCTCTAGAGGCTGGGAAGTCTGAAGGCATGATGCTTGCAGATTAGTGTTTAAGGTAGATGCACTTCCTGATTTACAGACAGCTGACTTCTCCTTGTGTCCCTAACATGGTGAAAGAAGAGGGACTTTCTAGGGTCTATTTTATACGGCCACTACTTCTATTTAAACGAGGTGACCTACATACTAAAAGCCTCACCCCCAAACTCATCAGATTGGGGTTGTGTTTCAACACATGAAGTTTAGGGAAAAACATTCTGCCTGTAGTAGTTACCACTGGAGAGAAGCTAGGCAAGGGGTTCATGACAGTTTTTTATTATGTCTTACAACTTCAGGTGAATCTACATTACTTCAAAATAAAGATCAGTGTAAACCATTTTTAAAGTTGTCTTCTTTTTTTCTTTATAAAATTTTTATTAGGATATTCATTACATGGTGGGGCAGATTCAAAGTGACAATTCCAATCAGATTTACATTGTACATTACTTGCATTTCCCCATTATATTTCCCCTCAGCCCCTCCCCAACCCACTTC